CCAAAAGATTAAGAAAAATTGGAGGTAAACATGCTTCTAGAGTTCATGGTGGTCAAAATCCAACTTCGCAACATCTCGAATTCCTTAGCAGAGTTGCAATGAGGCATAAGATGGATCGTCATAATTCTGGAATGTATTATGCCGAGGGTGATACTTCCGATTCTGACCTTGACGCAGATCCAGAACCTGAACCTGAAACCCTAGCTTCCACACCCAAGGCAATTAATGAGAATACTTCTGAAATTGAGGATATCTATGACTTATATGGGAGTATTTAGATTACTTCATAACTTATTTATTCATTCACTATAACTCAGCTTTACCACTTTGGACCTGCTTTACAATAATTAGACTTATTAGATATTTTTTAAGTAAAGTTATATATGCAAACCAAGTCCATAGAATTACCTCATTTATATTAAGAAAAATAGGGGCTGATCACACTTCCAGAATACATGGAGGTAGAAATGATTCCTGCCATCAATATTTACGACAATTGGCATATAGGCATAAAATAGGTCATGCTTCATCAGTTGAACATTATGGTGTAATGAATGACAGACCAAATACTCTAGCACCTTAACAAGAAAATAGAGAGATCGGGATATTATCAATTTATACAGAGAAATTTCTGATGATAAAAACTAACCACGTTTTTTCGCTTTCACTACTTCATAGTAAAATCTTTATTATCGTTGACAAAGGTAGTCACTTCAAATCACATTATAATAGGCCTTGGGAGTGATGCCACATGTAGGCTCAAAGAGCTATAATTTAAAGAATCGTCTAATAACCTGTTCTGTAATAGATTGATATATTAGACTCATGTAATTAATATATAACGGTAAATCAAATTTTTTGTGCGATGTCAGACAAGGTTCAACATATAAACAAATCTTAGTCTGGGTCACGATCCCATTAAGTCACATGCACTGCTGATGTCATGCGTGTCTTGGATCAAATTGGCCTGATCAATTTTCTGAAATACTTTTGGGCTCACCATAGTTGCAAGA